GGCTGTGGTGGCCGGAAGCGGCCACTGCACTCCAGTCTGGGCGACAGAGTGAGACTCCAACTCAAAAAAAAAAAAAGAAAATCTGCTTTTCTACCGTGGCAGCCATTGGAAAGCAACAGCCATGGCCCTGAGCTACCCCATGGCCATGGGCCCCAACAAGGGCCACAAGGTGACCAAGAACATAAGCAAGTTGAGGCACAGCTGCCGCCGTGGGTGCCTGACCAAGCACACCAAGTTTGTGGGGGACTCGATCCGGGAGGTGTGTGGCTTCGCTCCCTATGAGCTGCGTGCCATGGCGCTGCTCAAGGTCTCCAAGGACAAGCGGGCGCTCAAGTTCATCAAGAAACGGGTGGGGACACACATCCGTGCCAAAAGGAAGCATGAGAAGCTGAGCAACGTCCTGGCTGTCCTGAGGAAGGCGGCGGCCAAGAAGGACTAAGCCTCCAATAAAGGCTTTGCAGAACCCCCACCCCCCAAAAAGTCTCTTGCATAGCTAATCTGCTTTTGTTGTCTGCTTCTTGGCAGAACTGGACTAACACAAATGCCAGAAGTGTTCCAAGAAGCAGGTAGTAAGATGGGGATGATTGAGGCCCCAGAATAATAAAGACCCAGTGGCAATGCCTAACTGCCAAAAAACAACACAGTTACCATGATGACCGGCAAGATGGAGGAGGCCACCAAGAGGTCTTGATCATCAGGGAGTATAGAAATGATTAACAAGGGACAGTATCACCAAGGGCAAAATAGACTCAACCAAAAGGGTGTGTTTAATATCTATAACCAAAAAGTCCACAAGAATGGAGGAGCAGGAAGCCAAGAGTGGTCACCCCCAATAAATCATACTCCCTTAGCCAGTTCTAAACCTGAACCCAATGTTCAGATCCAGAATCCATTAATGAAGTGTTGGCAGGAACCTAGGAGTAAAAACCTTACAATACCATGCCGGGTATACTATGGCACGATGATTCCCTCAGACCTTCTTAAAGGGGAAGCCATTTACTCAGGTGATTATACACCAGCAAAGGGAAAATCAAATCAAATCAGAACTATTGAACAGAGAGTCTGACTTGAAGTGATAGAAGCCCAAAACATTGTTAGACTCCCTCGCCTGTGGGAGCCAAGTAATAAATGGACTCCTGGCTGAAGTATGGCTCGCAGTGAGTCAACAGAATGTGTGGCCCACTGGCAATTTCCACAGTCCCGAATATGCAGCTGGAATGACCTGGAATAACCCCACATTGTATTTCTGGCCCATGGCATAGGAACCATCAGGGCAGGAAAGGCCAAATGTAAACCTGCAAAACTGCTCCTAACCCTTGGCTGAGGTAGTAAATTTAAAATGTTTTATTGGGAGGATGGGGAATGGTGAAGATTGCAGCCACCCTTAAAGACCTAAAGAATGCTGGTGTGGCTCTGAAAGATGGTGGGGAGCAAAAAAGATTCCCAGTGGATGGAACTGCTAGCTGCGCCCTTAGCCATTGCACTTTATATGGAAGAAGTGGTCTAAGGTGAGAACATATACAGATTCCTGAACAGGGTCCAAGGTCCTGGTCAGGGGTAGGGACATGTGGATGAACAGATGGAAGTGGGTACTATATAAATATTTTTGTAGCCGGGCTTGGTGGCTCAGCCTGTAATCCCGCGCCTTTGAGAGGCTGAGGTGAGTGGATTGCATGAGCCCGCAGGTTCGAGACCTGCCTGGGCAGCGAGAACTCATCTCTACAATCAATCAAAAATCAGCCAGGCGTGGTAGCGCATGCCTGTAATTCTGGCTACTCGGAAGGCTGAGGCGGAAGAATCACCGGAGCCCAGCAGGTCGAGGCTGCGGTGGCCGGGAGCGGCCACGGCACTCCTGTCTGGGCGACAGAGTGAGACTCCAACTCAAGAAAAAAAAAATAAAAAAAAAATAAAGGGAGTGAGAGGATTGGGAGAAAGACCCAGGGATGAAGGAAATGGATACTTAAATTCGACCTCTTTCTCTAACCAGGTAGATGGATCTTATTCAGGCGAATAAGGATCTTATTTCCACAGGAAAGAAGGAATTTAATGTTCTGCTGAGTCAGCAGGTAAGTCCAGACACTCTGTTTCAAAGGACAGTCCTGGAGACTGAGTGTGTATGGCAGGGGTAAAGTGGGGGAGTGGAAGACTGGGGTGTGTGGGAGATAAGGGCAGAGAAGAGATGATCATTTGGAACTGGGAGGTAATGGTGTAAGTGATGGAAATCGCTAGGGACAGGGAATGTAAATCAGAGGAAAGGGGATGTGGGAATTTGTGGGTTTTTTTTTTTTGGGTATTCCTGAATCACATTGCTGACCACATTCTCCTGTGTCAATTCCCTCTCCCGCACTCTCCCAGGTCTTTGGTGATCCTCTTATCTCTGAAGAAGCCATGGTGATTGTGGTGAATGACTGGATAAACTTCTATATCAACTATTATAAGCAGAAGATTACAGGGGAGCAACAAGAGCAAGACATGGCTCTGCAGGAACTTCAGCAAGAGCTGAACACCCTAGCCAGCCCTTTCCTGGACAAATACAGAGCCTTCTTGAAGTCCCATGAGGACCCAAATAATCTATCGCCTTCCTCCTAGCTCAGAGAACCAGGTCATCATCTCCAAGAAACTCTTAAATCTTAGCTCTATGTTTTTCATTCCTCAGGATGTGCTCCTTCATGATGTTACTCTACCTTGACACCTCAATAAAGACCAATACTGGTTTTGTTGGACTTCCTGATTTTTCTTCCACTGTCTGTCCTGACTTGTGGAGGCGGTTGGTCCCTTTGCATTCAGCCCTTGTTCTTAGACATGGTCTTGGAGACTTAATTCCTTAGACTAGAGGTTAGCAATTTTAAGCAACCACTGGGCACTACTAAAATAGACTCTAGAGGAGCCAGGCAGGCAGGAACTAAAGAGAAAGTGCTGAGGCAAGTAGGGGATGGTAAAAAAAAAAAAAAATGTCACAGATATTGTCCTGTGACATGTTTGGGAGAAAACTGTTGGAACTCTTACAGTCTTGTTCATCCTGTGCCAGGT